TTTCGTGTTGTAATTTTGTGCTTTGAATGAACGAAGAAAATCATCCGTTCTAATCGTCTCGTTTCTAAAATTATCTGCAACATTTAATGGGTCGTCTTTGGATTACGATAATTTTCGTTTACCTATATTTTATGTGATATTACCATGAGCTATAAAGCCTCTTATGGAAAAGTGGATTCTTAAAAAGGGCTATAGTAAAGAGTATAGTAGACTCTCGTTATATTGCCGAAAATGGGGCTGTAGAAGCGGAAAATTTATCAAATTTTTAAGCTGTCATTTGGAGGAAGGAAGAGACATAGAAGTTTAGGATATAATGGTAGAAGAGTAGCACTAGAATGCTTGAAAATTACTCACGTGTCAATATAATGATAGTCCACTGTAAATACACTTAAGGCACGGTATTGACTTTTTTAATCCTTCGCCTTAAATCAACGTCTTGGAGACGTCATGCGATTTTGAAAGCTACTTATCACATTTAATGACATTTGATAACACTCAATATTTGTGTTTTTTCATCATAAGCTAACGTATGTATTAGCAACCTAATAATTTTATACGAATATATTGATTTTAAAACACTACAATTGTTTGATTACTTGGTCTGCTATCTTGGAATTAAATTATAAAGTGTAACGTGGTGACACGATTGCCCCCCCCCCCCCCCCCCCCCCCCCCCCCCGTTGAATCGCCAAACTTCGCCTGACACTACTCGAACCAAATTCGCCTCGCATTCACAAATTCCCCCTCCCTTCCACCCACACCATATCACCCTAAAAGCTTCCTACACCCGAGATCGAAAAGATCGAAAGGAGGGACCCAACCACGGCAGAATTGAGCCCAGCGACCCCGCACCTCACGAAGGGGAGATACAATCCCCAAAGGAGCCAAAGACCCCTTTAAGGAACATCCCGGGAAAAATGTCCCACAACCAACACAAAGACCTGCGAAAGCCAGCCGGCGCGCAACGTTCCGGTGGTGCCTCCTCGGCGGCCAGGAAACGACGAGAAACCATCCAATTACCTCCCTGACCCGAACCTACGACCCAATCCCTGATCCGTACCCCCTTCCCCAAAACCCCCAAGTGCAAGACTCGCCGTCGCGACGACGGCGACGAACGATCATTAGAGATTTTATAGCGTAAGCAGTTAAGAATTTTGTAGAGAGCAAAGCCAAACGATTATAGCGAGTGTGAGTGAGAATACCGCCGGCGAATTGGGTGAGTCCCTACTATTACCCCCTATTTTGTATAGTAAAAATTCGGATATAGTAACGGGTACATTCCGCGCACGGTTTATTGTACATCACGACCATTCCACTTACTGCCCCACCCCCAACGATCCTCTGTTTCGCCGTATAAGCTTCCCCCGATCGCGTAACGCAAAGAACGTCCTAGAATCCTCCACTTTTGAGATTCCCTATCCCTGCGTACTCCCCCGCGAACCTGTGACGGCCGGCTACGGTCTAGCCGCGTATAACACCTCTTTTGTAAAATCCCAAAATTCCCTTACCCCTTTTATTTTTTGAGTTGTCAGTGCCGTAATTGATGCCCAACGGAAACTTTTATAGAAATTTTGAGTGTATAGAGTACACCCTCTCCCCCTGCGTAAAGGTCACAGTTTATATAATTTGATTTATATTAAATTTGAATAAATTTATAACAAAAAATTTGTTTAAATGATTTCTTAATGATTGTATTTAATAAAATACAATTGATAAGAAACTTGGTAATAGAAAGATCAGTAATTGTTTTTTTTTATACTGTAGCGCTTAAGATAGGAAATAAGATAAATGTATATTAGATTATGGGGATTATTATAATAAAATACACAGTATATTTCAACACAAAAATACTTTATTTTAAGGCTAGGAAGGACGTCTTCTCTCTATGACGTTTTGACACGAAGTGGCTAGAAAGCCCGTAAGGACAAAGCTAAAAGTCTGTTGCCCACTTAAAGATTCTATAAAGACCAAGACTGCATTCAGTCTGTTACCCAGGCCCTCAGGTATAAACAGTCCCAGGCCTATGGGTCCGTTGACGTCTGGTCCATAAACAAAACATTAAAGCACGCAGTGCTTCTCAAATATACTAAATTTATTTTTGCTTACTTGCTGACGCATTGTAAGTAATCCAACAATGTACATAGTAATGTAGGAAAAAAAGATAGTATGCTAGGCTAAATGTACGACTCCGACTCACCGAGCCACCTCGGCAGGTCATACCATAAAACCCTTCGCGCTCAGGACTAGGTCGTCGCTGATTGGGCGGGCCTAGCTTCACCTTTTAGTATAAAACAGAGCCGTTTTTCCAAGGAAAAGTCAGTCTACGGAGAATAAGCAAACTGGAACTTTCCGAGAAGACGACTTTCGTTCGGCATTCAGTAAAATACAGTCAACCTTACCCCGTAACACCGAAGGGCTTGTGGCAACCGAGAATCACACGACGACCGGTACCTCAACGCCTTAATCCTGACCTTGAGAGGAAGACGTGCATACGGCACCTCTCTGCTAACCATCACCAAAGAAATCCTTCTATCCACGGACTTCCTCCCTAGCCGATTCCTACCCTACGCGTGAAAACTCCGACTCCGCGCCGTGACGATATATTTTTTTGTGCGAAACCTAAAATAAAATCTTCTTTAAACCAAAAAACCTTTACAATACTCTTTTGTGCTAAAGCTTAATTCATTAACGTGTATCGAATAAAATTCCATTGTTCATGTATCAAAATAAAACCTTCATCTATAGAAAGAAATAACGATTTATTCTCCGTAAAGAAATGTGACAATTATCTTTGAGTGATCAGAAATTGGGCTCGTAACTGTGTACCTAAGTAGTTGCGATAAAATGCGTAAATGTATAGATAAAATTAATAACCTTTCAATTTCGAACCTTCTACAAAAGGTTCTGGACGATAGCGGTTAAAGGCATCAATAGCGCGTTTGGTACGTGTTTATTTGGTCAACTATCTCTGATATATCATTTTCTTGCTGCAATGTTCATTTCTACTGTAGAAAGTGATGCTTTCGCTAGCTCACTCAAAGGCAGTGCCATCAATCACACCATGGCGATAACAACCCTGAAATCGCCCCTGTGCCATCAGTGGCTACCGTAATGGAGACGCTTAAGTGTGTGTATATACGTGTGAAAAGAAAATGGGTACGGTATGATCAGCGGTGCTACCTTCGAAATCGAACAGGAAAAGGAAGGAATAGGAGTTATCAAAGGAGGAGGACGAAAGAAGACACTTTACGAGGGAAGAAGGCTTTAAGGGGTTTCCCTGGTGTGACAGTGCTCAAAGTAGGGTAATCTTTGAAAATTTTTCAACTGAAAACGATAAAACGATATATATTATACTACATTTAAAAAATATATTAAAATTTTTCCAACCACAAATATGTATAATTAATAACATCTCAGCCATCCTGTCGTAACTCCCCCAAAAGAAGTTTATGAATGGTAACCACGATTGTAGTTGTTATAATTATAGTTATTTGTAGCCATAGTTTGACCTGGACTCGTGGAAAAATATTGAAAATTTGAAAAATTATAGCGTTTTTATTTTATTGCTTCTATTTTTAAAATAAAATTGCGTAGTCTTTTGAGTTTCAAATTTTTCATTTTAAACGCATCAAAAAAGTTTTTGGTCGAACGAAAATTATACATCTACTGAATGTATCCCCAAAATATCAAATAGATTTAACCATTCATTTCCGAGTTATCGTCATTACCAGTCTTAGAAATGTTATAGCGAGAAAAATGGATTTAAAGTTTTATGTACACATTTTTAGTTTATAATTTGAAATTCACGATACTTACAATTAAGTAAGTCAAACTTACTTAAGTTAAACTTGAAGAAAATGCAATAACAACAAAATTCGATTTTTTTGAACCGACACCCTAGGGAAACTTCTTAAAAGGTCAACCAGAAGTGAGGCGATAGAGGAGAAGGTAAAAGCGCAGCAGGGAGTGGAATAACGGAGAGATGCCCCACGATATCTAAAGAAGGACTGTAGGGGGTGATAAGGTTCAGATTGGTGTACCTACTAATATTTTTTTAACATAGAATATTTTATTAAACTCGACTCCCCTGATTTTGCGTTAGCTGAAGTGTCCCATGGGAAGGTAACGAAAATATATGACTCTGGCTGAGCAGGAATAGCAAAGAAGAGGTATAATAAGAGGTGGGACTCCCAGTGTTACCTTTGATATCGCTCATTATCAGTGCCTCGACTCTTTAAATTTAAATACACTGTATTTAATATTTTTATTTCATGTCAATTTCTAATATAATTAAAAGTATATTTGAGTTATAAATTTTTCTGTCTATTATTAATCGAAGGAATAAGATGTTGTAATAAAAAGTACCGGTTTCCTTTTATTCATTTTCGCCTCAACCTGACCCTGAAGACGCCACTCAAATTTTGTACGAAACATTTTTCTCTAAAATGCATTTTTAAACAATTTCTAACAAAAATTTTCTTTAGAATGCTTTTCTATAAAATTTTTTCTAAAATGCGTGGTTTACAGTATATTCCACCTGTTACGTTTGAAATTTAACATCCTGTATAGTGCTTGGTATTTGAACTATATAACTTCTTATACTTGAGTATATTTATAAGTGAAAATATACTTTAAATTTTTATTAAATATTTTGTATGTAATACTATATATAATTTATATAATTTTTTATATTGTGTCAAAGCATTCGTATTCCGAGGATTAAAATTAATACATTTAAAATGAACTAATGTTTTTAAGAATCGTAACAAAATAATGACTTAAACTCCGCTTTTCCCAATTTCACGCACCCTACATAATATTTCAATTGATCGATTTGGAGTAGAATAATCGATTACTATTTATCCTATTACTGTAATGTAGAGATAAGTAGCAAAAGTGAATCAAGCAAGTGGTAGGAGATTCTCTCTTAGCGTGCACGTGATTGTACATATCACTATTACATTGTATTAATAAAAATATCATTTATAAAGATAACATACCTTTTTAGAAGCGTGCTTATGATAATGATGAGGATGCAGCATACAAACGTAACGATCAATTGCCATGCAGATGAGGATAACGGCACTTTGTTGAGTTAAAGCTCCTCTAAGAAGTGCCTGAAACAATAAGATTTTTGAAAACTTAAGGAAAGCGTCGAAAATTTCAATTATGATTTTTCTAAACTGAAAAGAAAAATCATTAAATTTGATAAATTACAAATATCATCAGTTATATTTGATCATCATGTGTAATCATGCATTAAACCGTAGAAATTGATCAAATCAGAATATTAGATTCATTGCATCCCCCTTTGGTGAAAGATATTTTTCAATTGACATTAATTTATAGAAACATTTAACTATGAAAAAATTCGAACCACAAAAATGAAAAAAAATATATTTTGCATTAGTTGCAGAATAAATGGTATTTTTGCAACTTTCTGAAAAATAATATTTCAAAGGATGGAAATGGAGACAAAATATTTAAATAAAAAGGCATCGAAATATAGGCAACAAATTTGTTTTTATTTAATTGAATACATTATAAAAATTAAATTTTTTTTAGTATTTAACAATAGATTGAAATTTATGTAGCAGCTGTTTTTAATTAATTAGGTAAGCTTAAATAAAAAAATATATATGTATATATAATACGTATGTGATTACACAAATCGACTTAAAGCGACCGTAATCTAATCGGGGCACGTTTCTTTCTTCCTTCCTTCTATGTATTTATCACACTTTGAGCCAAGTTAGCCCATAAGCAAAAGTGCATATAAGAAAAATACAAGATATGAAACATAAAAATGAAAAATGAATCATAAATCATAAGTTATAAAGGATAAACAATGAAACATAAATCAAAAGCACAAATCATAAAACATAAAACCTAAAACATAATACAAAAACTTAATACATAAAACATAGATCATAAAGGGATTATTTACAGAAGGTTTGAACGTAAGACACATACCCTATTATTTTTACTGCCTTTTGCAAAACAGTTTAAACGAAACAACTTTTATATTTTTGGAGACCTAAAAAGCATCATATGAATTCCAATAAAAGGTTGGCTGGTTTTTATAATAAAGGCATACGAATGCTATTAGAACGTTGAAAAAAAGTCATAGAAAACGTGCTCTATATAAAAGAACAGGTAATAGAAAAGAAATTTTTATATTCAATAATATAGAAGAAAATAAATATACAATTACTTATTTAAATAAATTATTAGTTTAATTGAAAATTTATAATTTTGTGCAACATTTAGGTATAAAAGAAATGTTTGAAATAAAATAAAGAATATTTTGAAATATAACATAATGTGCAAGGGATGCAAATATGATTTGATGAATCAGCAACGCTACATGTCAATAAAGCAACGAGTGAGAAGAAAATGTGCAAAGCAAAAGACATCGGGGAGTGATGTACATTTAAGATGGTTGTCAGGGTGACCATTGGCGTACAGCCAGCGAAACGGTCTGATAATCTGAAGAAGTTTGAATCGCTCTGGCTTCGTTTCAAGCTATCCTCGAAACATTCCCGAAAGACCTTAACCCAATATTTTCCCCGCAAACAAACTTATTTGAACGTACCTCCAAGCGATTCACAGCCGTCTTGTATATACAGCGATTATCTTTTTGTTTACAAAAAGAGTCAGGTTAGAAATATCTACTTCTTTCAGAATTGAACCATGTGTAAGAAGAGTCAAGGGTTCGGATTTAATGAAACGGGATTTAAATTCCGTTAGGATATTCTCAAAGTGTTTATTTTGCGATACGGCTATTAAAAGGCAGGTCAGACTTTCTTTGCACGGAAAAGTCCTCTTGTTCCGAAAAACCCGGAATCCTTTTGCGTACAACGTGGGGGTCCGTCCTGTAAAATTGGCCAACATCTGTTTGACCGTGCAATTAGGCGTTGGATATAGTTTAGCCTTCGATTATCGTTACCGGATTTTCTAACACATGTTTTATTTTAAGACGACAAAATCATTAAATATTCGCCAGGTTTTTTATCAACATCACCAGGGCCGTGCGCTGCTTCGGATTCTCGGCTATCAACCACATCAAAGGTGGGAGCCACACTCGCTCGAGAAACGTGTGTCTCTCCCTGCACATGATTAGAGTTCACATTCGGTCCCGAGCGAAAGTGTTATACTCTTAATCGAGATTTTACTGTATACATATATGTAGGATGCCGGCGGAAAAAGACGTTTTCGTCTCGGGATATCGTCTCTGTCTTTCAAACTCGTCTAGTGGGGCTGACAACAGACAATCCCTGTCCCAGACACCTATTATACCGCAATTCGGAACTTCTGTATATTGGAACTGCATGGCGGGCGACCACTTGCGAGAACACTGTCACCGATCTCTCGTCGCCATCTAGCAGTTCCCACCCCGAACTACAGGCGTCCGGAGAGACGAAACCTTCTCGGCCCCTCCTCTCAACGCCCACATATATACAGTGTGTCCCGCGACTAATGGTCAACCGATTAGGGGGTGATTTTACAGGTAAAAATGAGTTGAAAAGAAACAATAAAATTTTTTCTTCCAGGGTTTCGTTTTCGAGAAAATCAAAGTCGAAAATTTACTCGGTACGTGTAGACAAGCAGTCACCCAAATTGCGGGCTGGATTTGGCCCTCCGAAGATTTTCATTCGGCCCCCGACTTTTATTTATATAATAAATATTTTATGAATGAAATATTAATTTTATAAAATTTTATGATTTGGTTGCGAATATTCGCCAACGATTCTATTACTATGATTATTGTGATTCTATTATAATTCTTCTATATATTGTTCTATTGTGATTTGGTACATTTTAATAGATATGTTCCATTATAAATTCCAATATAAAGTATATTTGTTTACACATGCAATAGGATTTCAATAAAAATATTTTGTGTCCGGCCCCCATGTTTTTAAAAATTTTTGTTCGGTCCGTTTCTCAAAAAGTTTGGTGACTCCTGATGTAGATTGTAGACTAAACTGCATGTCGACTTTGGGCATCTCGCTCTATATTTTGTTTTGGTTCTTATTTGTATTTAGAAACATAGTAATGACTTTGGTTGATAGTTTGTCTGAAATTATAAAAAACATAATAGTATAAAATAGTATAAAGTAGTACTATTTTATACTATTATTTTATACTATGTACTTATACTAGTACTTCATACTATTATAAAATAGTATAAAAAATAATATGTACAGAGAGATGCACAAAGTCGACATGCGGTCGAGTGTATACGTACCGAGTAAATTTTCGACTCCGATTTTCTAGAAAATGAAGCCTCGGAGGAAAAGATTTTATTTTTTTTTTTTTTGACTTATAAAAGATTTGATTTCTTTTTTCTTTTGAAAGCTACTCAGGATGACGGACCCTAACAACATATTAAAAAGGTATCGACATTTGAAATATTTACCCAACAAACTAAGAATTCTGGAAAATTTTCAAAGTATCTTTGCTATCATCAGTGTAACTACGCTACGTGATGCACCGTTATGTACTCGAATCAACTTAATGAATTCTGTCAGAATTAACTTGGCAAACGAGTTAACGAATCTGGTAATTTAGTTCCACGACTAATAAACGGTGCGCTGCTACTAGAGAAATAGAAGGGAAGCAGACAATGAAGAACCATCGAAAGGAATTTTGATAGTAATTGAAATGATATTCTATTTAACGAATTGAATAATTATTGACGATTACTAAACAAGCATATATAATTAACAATCTTTTTTAAAAATACACTTATAATTACAAAGTGTAATTGTATGTGTTAACCCTTTGCATTATGAGGTCACCTCTGTTGTGACAAAACTATTTTTTCCTACAACTCTTAAGGCACCTCAGGCGTGACACTTTATTTATACAGTCAATAAAAATTAAATTACAGTTGGCCGAGAACAAATTAAGAAAACAATCATAGTTCAAAGGGTTAATAACAAATATAAAGTTTGCACTTTGCGAAATTCAGTATTTGAATTGTGACAATTCAACACTACTGATTTTCCAGCAAAAGATCAAGGTAGAGCCACAAGTGTGGAATTTTGTAGCTGCACTTCATTTCATTTCTGTACAATGCAATGTACACTGACAATGAGTCCCATCGAAGTTGTCGCAATGAAGTTGGCTACACATTCACAAACACATTCACACCGCGTCGTCGGCACCTCGCCCATCGGCTCACCGACGCGGCGTGAATGTGTTAGTGCGCCAACTTCACTAACGCATTCACGCCGCGTCGGTGAGTGAATGCGTGGCCAACTTCACTGCGACAAGTTCAATGCAACTCAGTGTACACGGTGCGAGAAATCTCGTTCGTGAAAAGCGTTCGAGGCTCGGATCTCGAAACATGCATGCGTGAAGGTGTTGACACCTTCGAAAAAAATTCGAGATATAAATCGGATGTACCAACGCGTTTGATTCGAGCTCAGGGCGTAACCCTTTATTTACTGATGGGTCTTATAAGATCCGTCAGTTTTCTCATGGTACTGTATTAATTTAAACGCTTTGAGACCCATTGGGACTTTGAAGTCCACTCCAGCCAATAAAAAGAGGCTATAAATTATGGTGTAGTTCAGACATGTCTGGATATACATATTTACGAGTTTCAAGTGTATCAAGGGAAGAAGGATGAAATAGATAAAAAAACCAGTAGATAAAAGGTTAAAATGACAGAATGCACATGGCCTGCCTGGCCTGTCGTTCTGTCCGAATTCATTTTCGTGCGAGTCACGAACGAGAAACTGCCAAATTTCAAACATGTTGGAAACCGATTCGAGCTCATGCGTGCTAACATGCGTGCACGCACGTGAAACGTGTAGTACAACGATACGAGAATTCTCGCACCGTGTATGTACATCGGCTATAATGCTACCCCTTGTAAACATATCGCTTTAAACAGCTGAATTTACCGATTGCTTTTTCCAAAAGTGATTTCTAATTTCAATCACAGATAATCACAGATTAATTAAAAAGCAAAAAGTAGGGTGGAAGGCAAATGTTGGAGCTTTGTTTAAAAATAATGTGATGAGTGTTATACATTCATTAAACTTACTTTATATCTAGTTTGTGTGAAATTAATAAAAAAACGTGATTGAACTGATTATAAAAA